GGTGTAGTCACAAAAAACTGGATTCCTCTTTTTAACCGTAAACGTTTTTTACATTTGTAATTTTACTTTATTACACATTTGTGTTATTGTTCTATGCATTATACATAATCAATGGCTTTCTAAAATAACGGCTTATCTCAAAATCAACCTAGTTCATCAGGAAGATGGTTTTAAAACAACTGAAGCATATTAATTAATGCTGACGATATCACTGGCACCGGTTCATTGTTGTCACGTGTCTATTTTAATCAAAGAAATTTGAAGGTTTTTCATTATTTTCTATATTTCCGTAGGCGGAGCCAGAATTCCGTAGGGTTAACGGGTTAATTTCTGCCGCCAAGCAGTAATGTTAGCATTACCACCGCTGCTGGTGAACAGGCTACATACAGGCACATGGGACTTGTCAACTTATGTGTCAGGGTGTCGGGCGCAGTGGTAGCGTCCCTCAGTACTTTGTGATTTGAGTGACATTGCAACTGTTATGGACAGACGTATCGCTTACCATCAGGTGCACGACATATTCGTTCCGTTACTTGTTATTAGAAAAAAACCCTGCCGCACTGAAGCGCGCGGAGGTCGTAAAAATTCCCAAGCCCGGAACGCTTCCGCGGCCAAAGCATAAATCTGAAAATGACAGGGGTGCACGAAAGGAGTCTCCCTGCACGACGTGCCAGTTCCTCTCCTATATCTCCTTTCACCACGATATGGCAAGCATAATAATGTCTGCCATCGACAGGACAAGAAGAAGACAGTAAACTATTTAAAATTAGTTCCAATATTAATAATACTGAAGCCGAATATGACGTGTCAGCGGTGACCACTCTCAGTTACATAATTAGAAAATTAGCTAATGGCTATCTACCGGTATCCGTGGCTAATTAACCAAGGTATGTTTGTCATTTCTAAGCCAAGGATACGTCACACACTTCACGTGATTTACTATTTATTGTATTTAGTGACGATGGCGATCACTTTTCCTAAGAGTAACAATGAAAACCGCAAATCATCTAGGCTATATATCAAAGTCAGGTGTCACCACATGTGTCTTCTTGCCTCAAGGATGGTTTCGCCGTGCTGCAGTGATATGAAGCGTGTTAAGGGTACAGTCCTCCGTACACGCTGGCTTTGGTTCTTTGTCCTTCCGAGTCGGTATTTTGCCGTTTAAACCACTTTTTACCAGATTTTGAAGTGACAAACATTTGAGTGTAAAGCGAACTAATAAAATGCTACCGCTAGCAATGTCGTGACATGAGTTTGTATCCGAGACTTATCGAAACGTGTCACGTATCAATAAAAAAAAAACAATGAATGAAACTATTTAAAGATACAAAACTATGGATCAGGGTGGATAATTATCAAAACATTATGATAATTTCGAACTCTGCTTTTTAATAATTATAAATGAACTGACGTTTAGTGTGTACGTGACGGTTAGTAGGGCTTTCAGTCCCGATGCATTTCTGCGTCTCGGGGAAAGAAATCGTAACTCGGCGCGGTCTCATATATCCCGAAAAAACGAAACTTTCGAGATTATTTATGTACTTATGAGTTAGGCGTTTGGGCAGTTAAGACGTGAGATTTTAATCAAGTCTTTTATTAATTCAAATAACAGATTAAAAAATATTTATGAACGGTTTTTCCACTTTTGTAGTGGACACGTAAAAAATAAAGAGCGTTTAATGTAGTTTCAGATGGAGAAGTCTTCTGTACCTGAAACTAAATTACATAAACGCTCTTTCTTTGTTTGTTTTATTTTATTATCTACTATCGTTTTTCAATATTCATAGATTATATATTAAACACCATTGTACAGTGTTGCCATGTCCATGTAAGGGAACAAAAAAGACTTGCTTTACTTAGTTTTTTTTTTAAATTCACAGTGTTGCAACGATGTCATACAGGATAAGAATCTAAGAATGTAACTCGTTACTAATTTCAGTGTTTTTATCTATTTGTTACGAGTCCTTTAATTGCGAGGTCTTCAAAACACTATCGTTTACTTGTGAATGATTAACAGTACCTAATTATCTCTTGCGGTTAAAAAAAACATCGTGACTAAAAACGATTCACAGCACTTGGCAAGCCCTATTCCATAGACACGTTCCGTGCCCAGGATTGGGGTGTAAAGTGGGTTAATAATGATAATGATTCTATATGTGCCTTAGTTTTATGTCGTCATCAGTTAACAGAATTACTGTTTTTTAACCGACTTCAAAAGAGGCTATCCACTCGACAGAATGTTATTTCTTTTTTTTGTATGTATGTTACGCAAAAACTCGTAAAAATTTGTGAACCGATTTCGATGATTCTTTTTTTTAATTTATTTATTTAATTACATTTGAATAAAATATTCCATCTCTAAGGGTGGCAAACTAGATGTGAATCCGGTTTTGCACACTTTCCGGTAACAGATTACAATAAAATTTGGCAAATAGACGTAAATCACGAACTTTTGAGGTCGGTTTTTTAATGATATAAGCGACAGGGCGAACAACAATAGGCATTATTTAGGTGTACATGCTCCATCGTCGACCTCATCGCCACTTTCCACCAGGTGAGATGCAGGTCAAATACGCAGTTATATATCGTATAATAAACCTGTCTTTAACAGTTAATGTACTAATCGAAGCTTTAAATCTCAAAGATCTGAAAATCAGTGACTCTGTGCCCGTCACCCCGAGAATAAGTTAACATATAAATAACATCTCCCATGTGCCTGTAATTACCTTTCTAAACAGGAACTTCATAGCGGCAGAAAAAGGTAAAGTGACAGCAGGTCCTTGTACGACTTTTGTCACAAGGCCCTCCGCTGCTACTCAAGTGATTTGCATTTTTTTATCATAAAATAATACATGTTTCCAAAAGAAAGGAGACGAGATAATGTTTAAATACGAGTTTTGCAAAAAAGCAATAAAAAAATACGCGGTTATATTTGAGGTCATGAGCGACAACTTTTTTTAACTACCTACCATTTTTGAAAATAATTTATACAGTTAAATCTTTTTCACTTTGTCGTAATATTTATATAAAACGGAATGCATTGTGATTGTTCTATCTATTGGTATATTCATTCCGTTTACAATGCCTAACCAAACTTGAATTCCACTGTAATGTTTTGTACCCATATTGCTTGTATAATAATAAAATTAAGTACGCTGTTTTTTGTACACAATTTGTTTCGCTCTTGATTAGGATTTTTTCTTTAGTTGTATTTAGCGTAGGTATCGTCAACAAACAATTTAAGATTTAAATTAAATTCTATGCCACTTATAATACGAACGACCCTACAATGTGCAAAGCATATCAAATACACTGTTTCGTCTTTGCGAGTGTTATACTTTTAATTATTGGCCTGTTTCTACACGATCTTGTTTTATTTACCTTTACATTGTTCTAATAAGTTGCACACATATAAAAATTCGCTTTACATCTCTTTATATAATGCCATTAATGTTGAAGTCATGATAATCGGTTTTTTCAACCAATTTACATAACTACACTACACTTAATTTGATTTTCACAGGTGTAGTTTTCTAGAGGTTTGGATTTCTACTTGATGACAATAAGTAAAATTACTGGTACCATAGAAAAGGTGCACGATTTTTCGAATTAGTGTTTGCTTAATTAGGTAAGTTATCTAATTGAAAAGATTTTTTAACAATTAGAATTCTTTTTTAAATAACAATCAATGATAATTTAAATGATATTTTAATTTGGTTTTAATAAGAATGACGCATTGTTAAGACTGAATTTCTTCAATTAGTTGTGAATTCTTGCCATTTGCACGCAAAGATTGGTGTACATAAAATCAAATACTAAAAATTAAAGTAGCCCACTGTATCAACTATAGGTTCCACTGCCTGGCGTAGGTCTTCCTAAAGGCACCACTTAATCGCATCGAAACATAGTTTTTTGTAAATACTTATTGCAATTGCGAAACTTTAGTTTCCTCTCTTACATTGAAGGAAACTGTTAGTTTAAAAACGTTAACGGTAATAAGTAGAGATTCAAGATAGATGATTTTTCAGCCCATGAATTGAAGTCTACCCTAAGCGTACTTATAAGTTCAAGGTCGTTCGAACCGGATATTAAAAGGGATCTATGGATATACAATTCGGTGAAGTAGGTACAGCTGTACCTTACACGGGTTATTATCGAATAAACTATTTATATTTCAGTCTTATACAATCAATACTTTTAAAGCTACTCGGTGTAACCTTGAAACATCTGTGTGTAAAGAAGCCCGCAATTGAAGGTCGGTTGTCTCTTTATTTCAGGTAAAATTGTTTTAGTGGAGTTTTATTGCAAAATGCTATACTTCGTCTTCAATGAACACTTGTCACGTTGTAACAGGTTTCATGTACCTGCGTTTCGAGTACTTTGGTAAATACTCTATTTATTTACAGGTAAGGACTGTAATTACAACACCTACGTAAAGTAATTTAAGTGTCGTTTATATAGGGCGGGGTATTGTAAACTGTAACTGTTATTTGAAAAGTAATAATAACAAATGAATACGAGACGCAATTTGTGCCACAGTGGGTGGTCTATAGGTAGCCGAGAGAAATCGGAACAAAACAACCCCTGCCGGCACGATGCCGGAACGACCACGGCATAACGACGGAGGCGCAACGACGATGCACTACGGCGTTACACGATGCTGCGTGACTCACGTTTGCAATCGTTAGCGGGAAAATAAATACTGCGTCGAAGCAATTTTCACTTGCATGTTTCAACTTAGAAGAATAAGGAATTTTCTATACGCATGAACCACCAGTTACATCTTTGATGATGTATTTTAAGTATTTAGATATAACTTAAAATTACTTACTTCAACTTTTGTAGTACTCGGAGAGACGCGTTTAGTTCAGGGGTAAAATTAAAAACTTAGTCGTAATTTTTTTCACAAATTTAAAACTGTTATTTTTTTGCGCTACGTCGATGGTCCGTCAGTCAGTCAGCTGGCACCGGTTTGAGGATGTCTCCGGAAAGAAACTCACTTGCGGGGTGGTCGTTGAGGAGTCGATGTGGAAGCGCTTGGCGGTGCGTGTCGGTGTCAGCTACAGGCGCTCATGCCGTTCGGCGCGGACTGAGGAGTACTGGAACCGGCCGTGGTGCGGGACAATGCCGGCAAGCGAGTGGCGAGAAACAAAACTGACGACGTGCGTCTTGTAGCGCGGAGCGAGCGCAACTGAACTAGCTCACACACAAGTGTGCGGTTATTACAGCCGCTCCGACAGCTGCCGCCGGAGCCTACCCTGGCTCCCGTGCCCCTCGCAGCCGAAAGTCCCCGCTGCGCCGTCGCCGCGGAGGCTGCGTGCGCCGCATCCCTCACCGTCCTTGCTCCCCTATCTACCCGCTCCAACTTCACCCTCCCCCTCGAAGACCTCTGTTTCAAACGTGTATCACATACTTACTCTAAATGACATTATGATGTTAAGCTAATAAACTCGACAAGATGAGCTTATTGCGTTTAGTCTCTGGATACGTAATAGTTCCGATCGACCCTGACGCCGCAATTACCAGGTGTGCACGTGAACTTGATTGCGATTAATAACGTAATTCTTTAGAATTACTTCCATATTATGTAACCTACTAGAGTATTGGCACTATCTAATAATATATAATAATAATAATATACATACATGGTGTAATCGTTAAGTGTGCCCAGGCGATTATACATATGTTCCGTAAATATATAAAGATATCAAAAACCTTTAAACTAACGAAACGAAAGTTTCGACGACGAAATTTTAACGAAAGTGTTGTTGATTATAGAAATGAACTCCGGAAGGGATTGATAATATCATATTAAATGTGTGGGAGCGTTTAACGTTAAAATTTTGGATATTTCTAGTTTTATTTTCAAAAAGTTATTGTCGTCGTTTTTCTCATTAGGTAACGTACTTTTCATATCAGTTTCAAAATTTTTATATCTCTGTATTTACGGAATAATGGTTATGAAGAGTCCAGAGAAAATGTATATGAAGAGTCCAGGGAAAGAATGATCAAAGTTACTTGAGAAGAATTTTAGGAAAAACTATGTTTTATTTTGGAGAACTTTTAATTATTATTAATACAAAGATCGAACACTCAGAAAAAATTCCTTCGATCCGGCCGGATTCGAACCGACGTCTTCTAGCTTACCGTGCCAGACGCTATACCAACTAAGTTCGATTAATTCGAGAGTTCGAAAAGTTCGAGTAATTTCACAAAAAAAATTTAATATCAATTCAATAAAAATTTAGAACTTTTAATTATTAGTGAAAGAGACACGCAAAATCAATGACATAAATTTATGTTTCACTAAAAATCATTTTAACTAAAAAACATTGACAAATAATTTTTAACTTTTATACCATTTAGTCGCAAGCATTTTTATGACAAGATAATTTTTAAAGACATTGAATCTTATTAGGCTTTTCTTATGTGAAGAAGGAGGCACACGAGCAGACGAGCTACTTGATAGGAGGTGGTCATCGTCGCCCATGGACATTTGCAATATCAGATAAGCTGCCTATGAGTTGCAAGCCATTGAGAGCCCAGTAAACACGCTTTTTCAAGAACCCAAGTTATAGCGCTAAAGAAATACTTCAGAAGGAAGATCATTCCACACCTTGCAGGTGTCTTTTTCTGATTTAGGCAAAATACGCTCTGCGTTTACCAAACTGGATGGCGGTATTAACTTAAAACGTGTTTGTTTTTAAGTGACTTTGACCATTCTTTCCCTGGCCTTTTTATATATATTATTAACAAGTAAGCAGTTTCACTTACACCCTATATAGCTATTCTCAAGTATAATACACTTGATGAAATAGCTATCTGAGTAGGTTACTAAATAGATTAAGGCCAGAACTTTGCTTTAGATTAGGAAGGAGCTCGCTGAAAGCACAGAATAATTAATTTACTTAACTACATTACAGTACCCAGTCAATGACACGTTACATTTTGTTTAATTGTTTATTATAATATTAGCCTACCCTATTCAAAGCGAATAAATGAATGTACAATTTTCAAGAAAAAAATTTTACATTTTGTACGTACTTGTACATACTGACATTATTATATACGTCTCACTGCTAGACACGGGTCTTCCAAGGTGACGGGTTTAGACTATTAACACAGATTACTTAATAGTTAATATTAGGGGTTAAACTGTGAAATTGCAACTATCTTACAAAAAAAATTAAAACCATTTTTTTTGTAAAATAAAATATTATATTTGTTTAATCAAAATCGAAATAATTTTTTTTCCATAGGTAAGCATTATTACACTTGAAATCGTCACATTGGTGACAATTATAACTCTACCGCTCATTCGTAAGGCAGATTCTCTTGAGAAGAATGAGCAAGAAACTCAGGGGTTGCTCTTTGTAAATAACATTTGTACGTATCCAACATTTACAATACATATTTTTTTGCTTTCAAACACCAGAGATCGAGACTACCTCCATTAGCTAAATGGGTTACTACCATGGATTTTTGTCATCCAAGTACGCAGAAGTTGTATAAATAACCTTTAGTACAAAGTTTTTGTTTCACTGTAGTTCTGTACCTCGCGAATGGCAAATTTTGTATATCAACCGGAATCTTATTATAGATGCGTACACATTAATAATAATAATAATAATAACGCACACACTCAACATAGCCCCGCACTAGGGAAACACTGTGTCGCGGGTGCCATGGACAGACACATAGACAACCACAAATTACACCCAAACTCACGGGAGACATAAATGTAGGCCATACACATATTTCTCCCGGCCTGGGAATCGAACCCAGGACCTCTGCATGGCAGTCCGGCATGGTAACCGTTCGGCCACAGAGGCAGTTACTTTTGTTACATTGCTAGTTACATTGCTGGTTACTTTGCTCTTATATGAATTTATAACTTTGTGAAGACGACCATCAAAGTATTTAACCTCGTTGTCTATTCATTTCTGCCATCTAACCCGAAGGTCATTTAAACCTTTGCGATAGAACTCTGGGGACCTGGTGTCCACGAGCTGTGAGAAGGAATTTTGTACTGCTTTCTGGGAATATTTTTTCCCTTGCAAAAAATAGTCCAAATCACGGAAAAAATTGGTTGGGGCGAGGTCCGGACGGTAGGATGACGGATGGTTTCTAATTGCCGTGTTAAAACTGTTTCTCGAGCAGTGTGAGGTGTTGCCTTATCATGGAGCAATAATGGAGAGTTGTTTTGTTGGAGGGTTGTTTTACTGCGAGTTTCGCCGTCATTGTTCAAATGTCATGTCATATTGTGGGTATGCTAACGTTAAACCATGCCGCTAATGCCTTGGTAGTTTGATACGGATCGGCATCCATCATCACCTTCAATTCATCGTTATTTACCTTAGTGACTGGTCTCCTTGTAATTCATTCTTTAAGTCGAAATTTCTAAAATTGCCGAAATACGTACTCCAAACATAGCCTTGACATTACGAGCAGTTTCTGCTGCGTTAACCCCATTTGGGAACTCGTATTCAAAAAATACTCTGATTTTCGCTGTATCCATCTTTTCGTTAAAAGCTGAACAATTATTAAAAACAAATATCATGCTTTTTTAAATTAGGATTCTTTTAGTTTTCATGTTTAAAACAATTTCACTCTGAAATCTGACACCATGCAGGTTTAATTTTAATTCAGTGGGTATGTAATTATGAAATTAAATAGACGTGGTCTCAGAGATACGAACCATGAACCTCTCAATTGAAAAGCAACCACTCTCTTTCAACGCTTCTACCGCATTCTAAGCAGAAAACCTTTATTATTGCCTATGTTGTTTTGTCTGTCCATATAACATTTGCAGTGCCACTCAGAGTTTCAAATCGCGAAGATCTAAGGGACACTGTCATTGCGCCCGTCACTCTGAGACATAAGTTGACAAGTCCCATGTGCTTGTAATTTCACCAGCACCCTTTCCCTTTCAAACTGCTGCCTTTCCGCACGACGTACCATTGCTTTCTCTGGGCAACAGTCTACGAGTACCTTACCCCGATCGGCAAATCCTTTAATCACGATGGCAAGCATTATAGTGTACGCCATCGATACGATGAGAAGAAAATTACCTTTGAAGTTTAATATGTGATCTATAAACCTCTAAATACAACTTATCTACGCGTATTCTCCAAAAAGGCAAGATATAACGTAACTAAGCAACGTGGGAATAGACTCATATTCAAAATTAAATTTAATTATAAAAGGACAACCATAAATGGGGTTAGGAGTTTTATTTTTTACAGTTGTTTCCCATTTAGCCTCGACTGAAGCTAAATGAGGTACGACTGTACCGGTACATATGACGTAATTAAAGAACGAATATTAGTGAAAAGAATTAATATGCAGTCAGGAAGATACCAATGGCGATGCTTAATGTTGGGTATAACCAGAAGAAGCACGATAGCAGTGTGTATGCAGTAGGAATAAGGTCCCTCAGAATGATATGTAATGTAAGATTTTGTGACAGATTGAAGAATACGGTGTCTTGTTTAGAGAACGGTGTGTTGAGGTGGTTTGGGCGCATGGAGCGGATGAAAGAAACTTGAGAGGCGAAAGAGATGTATGAGCCAATGTGGAAGGAAGCACATGAAGAGGATGGCATGAAGCACGTTTTCAGAGAGTAATGAGAAGAATAAGAATGTAAAAGTAAGAATCCAAATGCGTGAGTACATGTATGTATGTATGTAGAAAGTGTCGAAATTTTGAATGAACTGATAGAGGGCATTGGTAAACCTTGACAAAATCTTGTAAGCGTCAAAAAATTTAACTAAATTTCCGTCGAAAGATCCGGAATTGTAAGAATTACGTATGAGTTAAATGTAAACAACATTAGATACAAATGAACGTTTTTTTTTTTCAACATACGTCGTTCATTCGAAATAATGGAACGAGGGCAAGATGATGACATTGTCTACAAATTTTTTATCGTGATTGTTTCGATTGATTCGTTGAAATGCCCCGAATTATCTTATGTAAGCTGTATTACCCAAATAAATCTAACATCTGGACAAAGCGGACCATTCAGTAAGACATTCGCAAATTCAGTGACGCGATTATTGACAGATGTATTCGATAAATTTCTGTTCTTTTCCATGTAACAGACATCAACAGTTATCGCATTACGTAATGAGTTCACATCGTTGTGCTAAAAACGGTGACATAAAACAAATAATTAAAATTGTTAA